ATGTCTGTCTTTGAGAACCATAGATTTTTGGTTGGAAGTGGATGAAGGTTTAGAGAATTGTTTATATGAGTTAGAATGTCAGCAAGTGGTGAGAAATGTTCAGGTGAGGCAAGGTAATTCTTCTGAAAAACAGAAGTAACTTGCTATGAAAATGAGGAGCAGCAAGAAGCTAGGATCAGGTCATTTCCAGGGTTAGTCAGGAAGCAGTTAAATCAAAACAGGCATCAAGCCAAAAGTGACGTTTATCAGTGGCGTGTAAAAGGCTTTAATAGGTAGAACAAGTGAACTTAAATGGTTGTCTTGAAGACGACTTTGATGTTATTAGCTTTTGTGAAACAGCATGGCATGACAAAAATCAATGAGGAACTTTAGTACTTGGCTGTAAAGCCATGAAGGAAAGGGTTTCAATTTAAGTGATGAGGGAAGAGCACCTGAGCATATAACATCCCCTAAAAGCAAGAATGCAGAAGTCTACAACTCTGTGGTAGAGTTTAGGCATGAAACATCATATGCAGGAACATTAGTAAGCTCCTGCATTAACAGCTCCACTATTTTTCACGGGCCTACAAGATCATCTTAAATGCATTAGTGATTCCTTTACTCAAACACTTATTCAATGAAAGCCTTTATAAAAGCAACCTCTGACACCACAGCTCTGCTGTCTGCAGTATAAAATTTTTCTATCCAAAAAACTGTTCGAGCAGAGATTAATACAATGGTGGCTGGTAAATCTCGTGCTCAACAGGCCAGTCTCTTCCAAGGTGGCAAATGTAGTTATGCGCAAGGTTGGAACAGGTAATCTTACAATCATGACTGTTTCTTGCTTAAAATATCTTACTTTTATCAGGGTTGAATTCACATGCTGGAGTCCACCTCTTCATGCTGTTCCTGGTCATGGTGGGTTGCTCACTCTGCTGTTCCTGAAGCACCTTATAGTTACGCCTAGCCCTGTCTATCAGGGTTGGCTGCAACTTGGAGAGCAGATAGAGCACAAATAAAACTGTGGTGAAGGAGGAGGGTGAGTGCGCATGATGCATAGGGCAGTCTCCTGATGGTAGGGAGGAAGAAAAAGCAGTCACATTAGTCTACAGAAGCCAGTCATGGCTGGTGGCAAAAGGAAAGAAAATGCTTCTTAATGAATATTTATGGAGAGAAAATGGTACTTGAACAGTAGAAGTTGATACCCTGCTTAAATCTGGTGTTTAATGTTCTTTTTCCCTACTAAGAATTTTCTAGAAAGATCTTTCTGAACAGAAACATCAACAGGTTGGTTTTTCTTGTCCTCAGCAGCTTTTTTTAAAATGAGTACAGACAACCTTAAATTTGTAATGAAAGAAAGTAAGCAGTGACTTGCTAGAGAGTTGACTTAATTTATATATTCAAACTGACAGTCCTCAGAATTTGTCTGTGCTTCTTGAGGAAGAAGAAAATTTCCATAGGATTCGTGTTACTGGGTGATTCAGGTTGCCTATTATAGTTGTGAAATATTGGTAGGACTGGATTGAGATATATTTATGACAGTAGGCAGACTAATGGAATTCAGTGACTTTATTTAAAATGTGCAGGAGTTTATTATAATACAGTAATAGGAATGTCATTTACCCTGACAGGAGAAGAGGGAAAAGCCCTGTCAATGAATAATAATGAGGTTATTTAAATGTCAACTTTCTTGCAAACAGTTTGCAAAATATAAATTACTCTGCATGTTTTTAGTTTAATTTTCTTTTAATTTATTATGCATGGAAGTCGTGGTTTCTGTACTGCAGTTGTATCATTTTCTTTATACTGATAAATGAACTAGTAATAAGCAAAATGTTTATCTCACGGAATGTTTGCAGAAATCATTCTTATTTACCAGCTGAGTAGGAAGTCTGATTCTGAAGAGCTACTAGTAAAAGTTGGGGTTAATTTAATGGAACTAATGACAGCTAGGATAGTGGGACAGGTATGAGGTAATCACAGTTAAGTATAAATAGTCTGTTCCTGAAAATTGTTCTTTAGTATATCTCAACTGCATTTCAGCAACATCCACGGTGTGCTAATGTCTTGCTTTTTTTCTTCTCATTTAATTAGACCAACACAGATTTCAAATCTCTCTGCAGACCTTCCTGTTTCAAGCAGCTGGACTTGCTTTGACTTAGCCTTAACTGTACCTTGTCAAAATGAAGCAAGTCAGCCTATAGCATTCTGAAAGAAAACAGTTTACACATGGATTTAAATTATTTGATGAGACCTGTTCAACAACTCTCCTCTACATGTGCATGTCTACTCTATAGACCTAATAAAATACATCCTGTTCACTACATTATATATTAGTAGATATAGGTTTTCAGCAGATGAAGTTACTTTCCTGTGTTTTTCAGCTCAACAGGTCCCGTGTTTGGTCCTTTCAGATGATTCAGATAGACGTTTGTTTTGCTCGTTTTATACAGATGCAGAGCATCACAGAAGCAGCCTGCCCCTCAAAGAATGGGAAATGTTGCTTGATACGTACCTGTTCCCCTCCAGTTAATAGGAATTTAATTTGATAATCCTATGTTGATACTCCTGTCTATAACCTGCTAAAGTGCCTCTGTCTTTTGCAACCACTCCATGTTAGCTTGCTTCCTGGAACACGAAATGGCTGATAATATATATTTATATATATTATACCCGTTATTTATATGTTTATAAATATATATATATTTATATACCCGTTTAATAAATAAAGACAAACACCCAGGCTGCCAGTCGACGTCTGTACGTATGCATATATGATAGGAATAAGTTTGTTGATACCCCTGAGTCATATCCCAACAGAGGCTTTAGATGCATTTCATTTGATTCAGTTCCACTGCTCTTTGTGTGCACCCACCACTGTTTTGTTGTTAAAGCATTTCTAAATGCCCATCTGTTGTTGCATAGCATTTATCTGTCTGTTAACATTGAGGTTAACTACAAAATGGCATAAGAATAACAGACTGTAGCTGAACAGACAGGAGGACAAGCTATTACTAATTTAGAACAGGATAATGGGAATAAGACATAACAGTGGTTCCTTTTATCACTTGCATATTTGTTCATCTGCAAAAAACAGTTTTCCAAGTCTTCCTTGTAACATTTTTGTTGTTTGTTATAGATGTTGGCAGAAGTGCACACTTCCGTATGAGTATGACATTACCTGTTAATAAGCCTATGAATGCCAAATAAAAGATTTGAAGTGAGACAAAGCTTATAATTCTAATTTGCAATAGACCTTCAGCATCTCTTTGGCTGTACTGTTGTGAGGCTGTTTAATAATCTCCAAACAAGTTTTGTGGGTTGAATTTTCTTCATTCCCATCCTTCTCTGAAGGGTCCCATTTTAAAATCATTTACCGGCTTAGAGATGCATTACTTCATTTAAAATATATTTTTTCTTAACTCAGTAGGCCAAACTTAATCCTTACCTTTAATTATGAATGTTTATTAGCCTTAAATTCACAAGAACATCTTATGTTTGATGTAGAAGGTGGGGCAGTGAGCTGGACAAGGTGACCAAAGTGAGCCAGCAAGGCTGTCTTCAGCCTTCTGCTGGACTTTCTGCACCTGAACACCAGAGCGTCTCTGAAATATTCAGTAACAGACATAGCTATTGCAGTGTCCTTCTCCTAGGTCTACTGAAGAAATAGCTGGGCTAGTTTACATGCTCTCCTGGGGGAGATGACCTTCTAAAGGCAAAGATCAGTCAGTGGGTGAGAACTTTGCATTAATCTTCTAACTAAGAAAGTTCACACACAAAGGTCACGGGTGCATATGTTTCTTAGAAGGGAGCAAGGAAAAAGATCACAGGCCAGTTGTTACGCAAAAGCAAAAGGCAAACTAATTCTTCAATAAACTTCATGAATAGAAAAGCTCAGCTTTAATGCAAATCCTCATCTTGGTGGAATTTGTTTTAATGGATAAAAGTCCAAGCTGCTCCTGCCCGGCATTGTTCATGTAATGAACTGACTGCAAAATCTGAAATCCTAGAAATATGGCATGAATCAGCTACAGGTGTGGAACACAATTGTAAGATCTAATCCTCATGTTGCTCCCTGACAAAACCAACCAAACAAAACAAACCCATGGTACCATTAATGATAGGCATTAAGTACTTTAAATATCTTTGTGAATTTGGCTGGCTGTACTAGTTTTGGACTGATTATCTAAATTTCTTGGTTATTAAAACGTAATTCAGACAAGCATGAGGTGCATAATATAAGTACAAATCTGCTGCTGACAATTGATCTTCATTCCAGTCAGATGTTGAGAGTAAATGTCATGGGAACTTAGAGCAATCTTATTTGTTCACTTCTTTTGTCACCCCAAAATGTGTAGTCAGTATCTCTGTTGGCAATTTTCGTATCAGAAATATATTATTTTCCCTACAAGCAATGGAAAAGGATTGCTTTTAAAGAAATAAGGTATGTGCCCATACAATCTGCTAGTCTTTATGTATAAAACCACAGAAATTGTAGTTGAAATGCTTATATAGTTGTTTTTTTTTGTTTTTTTTTTTTTTTTTTAGAAGAGCATTACTTTTTTCACAGAAAACTGAACTCTAATTTCACTGAACAATCAACTGAAACAGCTTCATTGCAGTGTGATGAGAAAAGACTCTTATCTTAAAAAAATTTGGTCTAAGGCTGGAGTATACGAGTTGATAACTATAGTCTCGTGCTATCTGCTGTTTGGCATTTTCTGGCTATCGTTATCTTCTATACACAGAATTTAGCATTTCTTATTGTGTGTGTTTATTTTAAAGTGCTTTGGGAAGATGCTGGTTTAATTTTTCCTAATCTAATTTAAATGCAAACTGTTAGCACTCACATGATGCTGTGTGTATACAATCAAGTATCATTATATACTACATGAATCATTCAAAAAACTCTGGAGATCCATTCCACTATGTAAAGTATGACTTGCATTGAAAAACTGCCAAGTGGCTTGCGGTTTTGTGATTAAGTGTTCTTACTTATGAAATTTCTATTTGAATCATAGGTCAACAGATTATGGGACAACATATGAGAAATTGAATGATAAAGTTGGCCTGAAGACGATTTTGAGCTACTTATATGTCTGTCCAACAAACAAACGAAAGGTAGGTAGTAATGAGGTTTGCTCGTTTTGACTGCGTCCTTGTAATCCTCTTTTTGTCGATATCTGTTACTATTAAATGTCTAGAATTTTTCTGTCTTTCCATCCTTGAAAAAATATGTAATGATAGCAAAACGTATGTCAGTTTACACCAGCTATAGCACCTGTCAGTGTACTTTGGAGAATACACATTAGCAAAAATACGTGCATCCAATTGTTTGCCTATCTTCTGCCTGCTGATCATTTTTTCTGAAAGTAACAGAGACATGTTAAAATGACAGAAATGCATCTACAGTGGTCAGATTAACATCATTTCTTTTAAGTGCTTCCAGTAGGGAACCAAGCAGGATTTGACAAAATCCTGCAGAGAAAATACCTTCTGAAGCCCAGAAGGTTTTAATCATGCAAGCACCCAGCTGAGTAACAATTTACTAAGAATTTATTATGCTGACTTTCATAAATGGAAGCTGTTGCTTTCTCTGACAATTTTTTTGTAATTCATAGGTATGCAAAAGGAGATGATGAAAAAGTTTATAATGATGATGAAAACTCGTATTCTTATATATAGATATACTAGAAAAAGTGATGTTGTTTAAAGGCTCCTTCCCTTTCATGTTAGCTGTCATATTTGATGATAGACAGTTATTACCACTGGTGTTTTCATGTGGACATTAAAAAATAGCTTAATTCTTCCTGAAATTGCAAGTTATTTTATTCCTGACTTCCTCAGCTTTTGGTCCAGAAAAAAACGGGGGGACAAAAATCAAAACCAAAGAGTCGTTAAATAAATGGCAATGGTGACATTATTATCCTCTCATCTTCTTAGCTGTGGAACTGTGCGCCCTCTGTGTGGAAGGCCCAGCTCCAGCTCTTTTCTTTTGCCAAGGGTGTTATGAAGCTGGCTCGTGTCATTTTCCGTATTCGCTTTCTGTCTTAGTTCATGATTCGAATTGTTCCAGGCAGAACTGAATTGATTCAGAAGAAATTCCTAGTGAAGATTCATTTGTGATGGAGATTGTGTATGTTTGGGCAGCTAAGGTCACCATTTCTGCTGCTTTCATCGTACTGAAACATTTATGTATTCGTTCAGAGAGAATATGAAAGGAAAAAGGAGCTGCCCAGAGGGGACAGAGCCTAGCTTTATTCTCTCATAGATCATGTTTAACCCTTTATTCAAAAGAAACTGACATTTCTAGGCATGAGTCATTTGACCTGTTAAGTAATTGACCCTGGGATGAAACAAATTACATTCTAGCACTGCCCCCTTTTCTCCAGTTTACAGTACCCGTGATGGAGTATGGATCTCATCCTCTACTCACCTGTACTGTGAGCATGTCCATAACCAAGGAATATTTGTCTGATGTTCAAGGACATTTTTCTTTCCTCTGATAAAACTGTTTCCAAACACCAGCACATAAAACTAGAATGTATGTCTGAGATCATGCATTCTACTTCCTTGCTACAGGCAGCTGCCTCATATGGTCTTAACGAGACACCTGTCAAGGGCTCTCTTGAAAGTATTCTGAGTAATGGCTTGTAGCTCTGGAATTCCAGTTGTTGCCTGTTCTGATAAATTTAGTTTTTGCTGAAGAAAAGAAAGGAGTTTGTTACCTCATACTGTTGTGTTGCCTCATGGTCAATTCCTCATAGCTGCTTACATGATTATTATTATAAAAGACTGGAAAAAGGTGAAGGGATGGGAGATAAATAATATATCTTTATATCTATCTATATATCTTTATAATAAGAAACAAAAATAGGTTCAAGTCTTGGGATGAAATCAACTAAATGTGTGAAATTAGTGGAGAGTTACTGTCTCATGGCAACTAACCTGTGACAAACATGTAACTACTTTAGATGGTAAAATAACTACATTATTAGTGTCATTCAAACATCCTTTGAGATTGAGGTTTGAAAGGTTGGTCTCCTGGTTTGCACATAATCATACTTTATATTTCTTGGGGAGTAATAATAGTGTTCTCCAGACAAATTAATAATCATTTTAGCTGGGCAACATCAGCACGACCCCTTAGCTATTGTGCAGTAAAAAACTAAGCAGGAGCTAAGAGTTTTGCAAGCATATTAGTCCAACTTAAGTACTGAGCAGCTCCAAAAATCCATAACCCAGCTGCATCTTCCAACTTCCTTCTTCATACTGCCACTCTTGTTTGTGTAACCATCTGTTGAGTTGGATCAAGGGCTAATATGCCTTGAAATTAATCCCTTTCTAGTTCAAAATGCAAATGGATGAAAGCAAAAAGCTTCCAGGTGGAAAGGTGGAATAACTCATTCTGGCAATAGAGAACACTGAAGTTGGCCTGTAATCAGTATGGGACAGTGCCAGAGGAAAGCTGCTACACCTGGGATAAAAGGACCTTAGTGAAGGTCTAAGACTGAATTGTCCAAAACTTACCTGAGCAAGAGGAGAATTATGTTTGCAGGGAGAACTTCTGGAGACTGCCTATTCTGTTTTTGTATAACATCAGATTATTTCTCCAGAAGCATTTAAATATAAGCATCTATTTTATTTCATCTCCCTTAAGTATGAGAGCATGGGGAAAAGAATGTAGAGCTATGCCATGCTTCCACACAAAAGTATTTTGCAGTGAAAGCAAAAATATTGAGTCAGTTGTGGTCGTTATTATACCTGCTGGCAATCAGAAGGGAGAATTTACAGCTTTTGTCACCAAGAAATTGTCAGCTAATATCTTGGGATCCCCAGACCTGAGTTTCCTCTTTTCTGAAATTCTGACACTGGCTACTGTGAAACTGTCATCTCGTTTCACTAGCATGGGCCAAGTAGACAACTGCAGGCCTTTTTATTTCATTAGAAGATTGAACTGCTCTAAAGTCCTTGATTTCTCCGATACACATACTGTGTGCATGAAGGGTTTATGTGGTGCTGTTGTTAATACTTCACAAACACTGACAGTGCTTTCCCCAAATATGTTAGATGAGGTAAATGATTCTGCTTAGACTGTACCTGCAGCCTTCAATGCTCTTTGTTCCACAGTGCTTTTCTTTGCAGAAACAGCCTTCCTCAGTAGTAGAAAATAATACTTTTGTTATCTTGCAGATATTGGACAAAATACCTTGCTAATATGATTCATGTGGGACCAGCATGTGCTTAACTTACTGTTGTTGGTGTTTTATTATAATAAATATCCTTTTAGCAGTTAGTTAGCTTTTAGGAATTGCCCCATTGAAAAAAGAAAGTAAATTTGTATTCTGACTCAAGAGGAATTGCTTGCAGTGACGAAACCAAGTGTATCCTGTACATAGCCTTGTCTGTTCTGTGCAAAGAGAAGCAGTTAGAACAATGAAGTGTTGAATGCATGTAATAGGATTTTTTCAAATAACTAATAAGTTTGTTCATGAATTTGTGATGAATTTCACTTTCTGGAAAAGAACAAACGATGACATGTGTTAAATTGTTTTGTTATAGTTTATTTTCTCTGCTCTGCCTAGGAGAAAAACTCTATCTATAAACATATAGGATTTGCAGGACTCTCACTGTCTCCGAATGCCAATTTCTTTTTAAAAGCTTCCATATTTTTGTCTCCTTATTTCACAAAAATTAAATCCTTTAATCAGATGCTGTAAATAATGTCATATTACAAAGGGGAAGGAGGGGACCTCAAAATAAGAATGAGAAAAAATTCAGGTACTGTTTAAAACTTAAACCACTGAACTCTTGCTGTTACTTGTTACTTTTCTGAATTGCAGTATTTTCTTTAGGAAATAACAGAAAATCGTGAGTAATATATTGTTGTGTAAGCTCTATCAATAGAAGAGATGGAAACCCCTGTTTCTCAGTATTTTCTACTTTCACTAAATTACTGTGCTACCTGACTCTATGACTGATGACACAGATCAGGGAAGAAAAAATCATAACACATGGATCTTGCCAAAGACTCAGTGCCTATTTGAGTATTTGTCAACAAGTCTACAGAAGAGAGAATCTCCAACATACAATGAATCCCTCAGCTTACATATGTTAACATTGGTTTATTTGTTAGGTGCATACAGCCTTTTCTGAAGGAATATAAAATGATTTAAAGTTGTCTACATGAGGCAGTAGTGTTTTTAAATAGTGCACTGATAGGTTAAAAACTAAAATAAGCTAGAAATCCATGTTGATATCTTGAAAATCTTGCAAAATTTTGGCATTCACTTTCCTACAAAATCATACACTAAGTTTTATTATAGTCTTTATGAAAAACCTTTCGCATAGGTTGCTTTCAAGCATTGCAATGGAAATCATAGCTGTGGAAATAAAAGCAGATGTGGGATGTGGTGGTGATTTTAAAATTAATTCTCTGGAGCTTTTCTTTAACTCAAAGTGTTGTGCGTTAATTTAGACAGTTTTGTTGTATACAGGGAACTGTGCTTTTTGCAGAGCCAGTATATGCAGTTCATTCATTCCTTGTACTTTCAAACCCTTTGTGGTGGTGTATCTCCAGTTAATAAAATACTGGATGATAGTACCTGCAAGCAACTTTATACTATTTGTAGCATGTCTGGTCCATCAGACATCTCTTAGGGGGTTGAATTTTTATGTTAGGTTTTTTGTTGTTTTTTTCTCCCCCTCCCATTCTTTCTACAGACCTGCCTTGAATTTTCCCTTTATTCCTCCAACTGTTTGGATAACTGCTGTGTGCAGTACAGTATCTCTTTTTTTTTTTTTTTACACTCTCTAAAGATGAATGGATTACAGATGCCTTCCTCTTCTTTTATATTCAGTGGTTGTGATTAGCACCTTTATCACAGCATGTTAAGCACCATCCTGTTGTGTGTGTAGCTCAAAGATAACGGCTATTTATTGTAAATATAATTGCTCGGGTTTCAGTTCTGGCTAGATCCCTAACTGCTTCTAATTCGTTTCTATTAATGAGTTTTAAATGAAAGGAAACCAAAGTGATGAAGGCCCAGCCTTCTGTCCCTTCTAGCATGTGGTGTATGTGCAGAGGGGAGAACAGTTGGTAAATCTTTCTAGCTGTCAAT